GTAGGCCCATTGCGAGCTGCGAAACGTACGGCAAGCCGCAGAAACGCGATGATGCTTTACGCGCTGACGCGGCGCTGTCCGTCACGATGGGCGCCGCAACGTGGTTCACGGAACCCTGCCCGAGTCCCCCTAGGCACTACGAATATATATCTGTTTGGATTACGCTGGACTACCAATACGGTCGACACGAGCACACACACACACGTACGGAGACGAGATAGAAAGAGAAATAGAAAGAGAGAAAGAGAAAGGATTTGGGAAGGGGAGAACAGAGCGAATAATACTAGATACACGAGGAGAGGGAGAAAGATGGCGAGAAGAAGAGAGAGTGGAAGAGTATGGAGAAGAGAAGAAAGAGGATAGATAGAGGGGAGCCGAGTGGTAGGGGATAGTAGGTGGTAGAAATGGCGGTGTTGGTGGGTGGGGTGGTTGAACCACGACAGGGGGTGGCGTAGAGGTCGACGCGTGCGGGCATTGCGATCCGTCAGAGCGGGTAAACCGAAAACATAAATTTAATAGGTTTCACCCCCTTCTTCGAGCTTTATGGCGCCACCGAATTTCCCATTAAATAAACAAGCGCAATGTTCATTACGGGACACCGGATCTCTCGACCGATCGTGCGCTGTATACGCGCACACCGCCCCGCTATCGTAGATTATGTTACGTAGATGCATCTAGGGCTTAGACCGCAGCTTGCGGTTTCCGGATACGTATGAGTCTACGTGGATGTGCGAGAATCTATACCTCTCCCTTCGAAATTGAACGTAAGGGGCAGAAAATTGCCTATCTCTTTCGTATCGTTTCGAATGTATATCGTTGTTGTCTTGAATTTTTTTTTTTTAAGATCGATCCAGAAAGTCTCGCCGTTTCTGAAATAATTATAACATTGCTTTTATGGATGATGATAATGGTTCCAGATTTGTCCCAATTGTGAAAGAAATATGGTAATTCGAGCGATTCGCTTACTTCTCTTTTTTCCCCCGATAGAAAAAGTAAGTAAAAAAATTAGACTGATCACATCGTGTTTGATCTCATTTTTATCAGGAGAATCATACGAATACGACGAAAATATTTTTTTATAAAAAAAAAATGAGAATTATACGAATTAAATTTTTCTCTAAAAACGTATCGAATTACACGATTCCAATCTTCTCCAGATTACTATTTACGAAATCACAATTATATTTCTTTACTTTTATTTATTTTATTTTTACCGAATTCATCCCACACATTCATTCGCATTTTCACGTTAATAGAGGCGAATTCGCAAATTATGCAATAAGGTGTCATCAGGGGGTGTAGGTTTGGATTTGCTTGGTCGAAAGCTTGTGCAGCTCGCAGCACGATACACAGGTTCGCATAGGGGGAAGGGGAGGTGGAAGTGGAGGTGGAGGTGGAGGCGTAGGATCCTCGATTCGAATTTTCCAAAACACCCAAAATCGTCACGCGAATCGAAATGCCCGGCAATTCCAGGATTTTTTCGTGTTTTTTTTTGTCACCGTGCCGACGCGTAATCTCTTTTTTCACGATGGCTCTCTATCGGAAACGCATAGTGATCGTCCGCGTGCGCGGACGGCTACGCGAAACACTGTAACTCCTGCTTGCTGATAATTAGCGCATCCATCAGCCGCAGCAAGCCGCCAGCTAATGCCGATCGTACGTTATCGTTATCACGGTCTCCCCATTTTGTCCCACCGCCACTCTCTCCCTCTCTCTACCACTATACCGCTCTCCACTCCACCCCCGAACCCCTCTATATTTGTACGTGGTCCGTACGCGACCCACAAGCAGCGACACCATCACCGATCCACCCTTTATCTCTCTCTCTCTCTCTCTCTCTCTCTCTCCTCTCTCCTCTCCTCTCCTCTCTTCCTCTTTCTCTCTCCACCCTCTCAGGCTGGCTCTGATTCCTGCCTTCCATCCTATATCGGCAGCCAACGCATGAGCTGTCGATACGACCAATAATCTAATAACCAGTCACCGGCAATGTGTCGTAAGTCACCGGTCTGCAGATTTTCACTGCAAGAGAACCAATAACGTGTTCCCTTTTGAATTATCAATTCATTCGTAGGCTGGACGAAAGAAAGTACGAGACTCGTGTAACGTCACGGCCTTCTCGATCGGGGGATATGAGATTTCCTCGCTGATTTACAATCATCGCGAAACCGGTGCGAGATCGGTATCCGTCCATGCGGATATGGGATTCTGAAAATCACAAAATCATGTTGGAAATTAGATGAAAAGAAGGAAATAGATATTTGGAGATCGGTTTGCAATTGAATAGAAAAAAGTTAACTTTTAACTTGATAATATTAGACTCGTCGTAGATAGAATTCGTTTTTTAGAATTCAAGGATATCAAATCAAAAAAAAAAAAGGATACGGAAAGAAAAACGAATAAAAAGAGACTGATTGGGGCGCATTCAAAGCTCGGGAACGGGCTCTATCGCAGACCACTTTATTCCGAACGATCGTCGAATCTCGTGGCATTGTATCCCTCTGGCCGTGCAAAAAAAAAAGCACACGGTCCTACTGTATGGTCGTTGCTGTCTGGTTGCGTCCACTGGTCTTTTTTTTTTTTTTCCGTTCCTAAAAATCATAGAGTCCATCGAAGGGCGAATTACAGGATCGCGATAGCGCGCACACACAACAGTAGTGCATGCGCGCATCTCACGGCCGCGAGCCACCAAATGATCCAGAACACCGGTGGGAATTGGTTCAGCGTCGAGGTAGAGTGGGAGGCAAGAGGGGTGGGGAGGGCCACAGAGCAGAGGCAGCGTTATAACTAACCGAGCTGATCTACGACCTGTTTAGTAGTTCTATATCAGCGCTGCACCATGCTTCGGTACACGCAATCGAATTGCCTCCTCTGCCGATAATATCTGACTTAAGTAGGTAACCATCGGCGCGCGTTTGCCCGCGTTGAACACACGCGCACACGTCGGTACACGTACACCCACGTGTGCGTGGCTCTGCACCGATATAGAGGAGCTGGGGGCCGTGCACGTGCGCAAATAACTAGAATATGGATGACAGAGAATGCAGCAGGCAGCCAGGAAAGAAGTTGTTCGTAGATGCTAGATTATCCCTGCCGAGTAATGTTTGCGCCTCGTGTAAAATGGCTCTGTTTGGTTTAACGCATGGCGACCACGGTTACCTCGAGACCCCTCCACCGTTTCGTTGTTCGCATTATACTTTCAATAGGTTTAGTTTACGATCGTGACTAACTAGCCCGGTTACACGATAAACGAGTTAATGATTGATGTAACCGAACAATCGTAATTCGAGCCAGAGTTGAAATTGATTATACCTATTCTGTTATTGCGGTGAGTTACAAGCGATGAGGCGCATGCGCATAATTGCCGCGCGTTCTGAAGCGAGTCGCTCGACTATTGAAATTTCCCCATTTCGCGCGATTAACTTAATCCTTTCCGCCGCGATCGTTCTACCGTGTCTCCCGCCCGTTTGCTAATTTTCGTTTTATATTTTAATTATATTTCATAACAAACAATTGATATTTCGATCGGCTAGTGTAGAATTGACTTTTTTGCACGATTAAAGCATTCGATAAGTAATTCTTTTAATAAAATATCGCGATGTAGAGAAGACATCCAATTTTTCGATCGGATTTCTTCGATTCTATGTTTTTTTCAGATATTTTTCGATATTATTCAATTTATGATTTTCGTGATTTCATATCGATAAAATGTTAAATTCAAAGTATAAATCGATGGCAGAGGAAAATATAAAAATTTCAATCTTATTATCCGAACAGATACGCAAACATTAACCAGCGAGAGTTAATAAAATTTTTTACCAAAAATGGGCCGCTATTATCCATAAAACTTATCCGAAAACTCACGATCCTAATATAAAAAAAATATTTTTCTTGAATCTGAAAACGAGGAAACCTCTGCCTACCGTCATTTTCACTTTACGAGAGATTGAATGCATAATGAGGGGAAGGAGATTAAACGTAGCATCGTTGAAACACGGCACGCATTTGTCGATGTCTAATAGAATATTAACGAACACAATCCGGGCCGTTGCCCGCGTGCAAAATGCATTCAGTAGCTCATCGATCGACGTTTCATCACGCGCCAGCGAAATCGGTTGCGAAATGAAAAACAAGAGAGGGAGGGGGGGGGGATGAGGGCGGTCGGAGAAACTGTGTGACAGAGACGAAAGGAGGGGGCGTAACGGTGGAGCGAAAGGGAGGGGGAAACAAAGGGTGGATCGTTAATTGTTTAATCCCGTCCGATTGGCTTGGATATTTTTAAATATGAATCCTCGATCTAGAAATTGAACTATCCCGATAGAAAATTGCGTTGCCCGATGCCACGAAATATATCGTCGAGGAGGCGGCGAATGGCTAAATACGATTTATAGCTTCATTTATGACAGGGCAGGAGTTATTCTCATTGGCTCTGGATTTTAAAATGTGTATCCCCTGGATCGATCGCCTGGTGCCCCGGCGCGCTTTTGCATTACGCGTTTTCGAGCTACGAGTTGCTTAAACATTTCCATTGGATTTACGGTGTTTCCAGCCAGAGGCGGTGATCAGTTTTCACTGAATAATTCAAAAAATTGACGGCTCTTATTATTATATATTTACACGATACTTTCTCTCCTTCCATCCCTCGATATCGAATTCGATCGTTGAAACAGATTTATTACATGCTCGTTGTTTCCTATACGCGTGTTCACATATACAAGAAAAGTATTCTCGAATACTCGCTGTTAAAATATTGAACAGTAGAAATGTATGAAGTTGAATTTTTTAATGTGATGTAACTATTGTAAGTTATTCGATACGATGTAAGAGAAGTATTTGAACGAATTAAATTTGGTTTTAATAATCCATGAATCAATATCCTATACTATTCTTGTATAATATTTATTCGAAATTTGAGTTGTCACGATTATTTTTATGGTTTAATATTTGTATAGTTAGAGTCAAAGAACGTTGAATCCTCATGTAGAATTTTCTCTCTGTCACAGGTAAGGAAGATATTGCTAAGCCACATTGGACATGGTTGCAAGGTGAGTTGTGCTTTCTTCAAACTCGATTAAAGTTAGAAGACGTTTCGCGTGCTCTCGAGGTTTCTGCTTCGATATAAATGGGATGATTTCAATGGATTACCTTTGGATCGCCAACTCATTCTGCTGACACTATTTTTATCGATACTATTCGAGTCGGATGATACCAGAATAATTTGTTAATGCATATTTCAGATTTTTATTTTACGTTCGCTCTTTATCCAATAAGTATCTTGAAAAGATGCTGTTTGATTAATTTAAAAAGAAAAATCTTGTTATTTTTCATCTTTAATTTTAATTCAATAAATTGTAATTCCTCTTCGTTTTACACCGTTACACAAATATTATGAATATTACGTCACAGAAAAAATTATAAAATTATATAAAATTATATAAATATAAAATTATAAAATTGTATAGATGTTAAAGACAAGAGTTGTTCTTCTGTAAAATTTTGTTTACGAAAACAAAGTGTCTACGAAATAAGTTGTTAGCAATTCGAAAGTAACCCAATTTCGATTCACCGAGAAACATTCACCGAGTCGATTATTGATCGAAATCACCAATCGAGAGGCGAATACTTTGAAGTTTCCCCCGGTTCGTCGACACCGTTCCAAAACGGATGGATTTAAAAGTTTCGTGCCGAATTCGGATCGTGAATGTCGCACAGGGATTAGATTTATTCGGGGCGAGGCGTGCGCTCGCACAGATGCTGTTTACCCCCTCGGATTTCTTCGAATTTCGGTATAAGCGGTGTGGCATTCCCGAACGACCGCGGGAGGCACTCGTTTCCAAGAATAAAAGAGTCGTGGGGTGAATTTTCATCGTGTCGTGAGTGTTGTGCTCTCGAACCGTCTCCCCCTTCCCTCTACCCTCTAAACGGGAGTACAAGAAGTATCGCGAAGAACAGCTGCGAGCGTCTTGACAGCGCGACGGGAGCGAAAACCATCCTGTGTTTCTCTTTTTCTTGAAAAATAGGGTGGAACGTGAGAGAGGAGGTAACAAAAAAAAACGAAGAAAAGCTTGGCCGCAAAAGAACGTGCAGAGGTCGTGCTAGAGAGAGAGAGAGAGAGAGAGAGAGAGAGAGAGAGAGAGAGAGAGAGAGAGAGAGAGAGAGAAGGAAAGAGGCTGATCGCTTGAGAAGGAGCGAGATAGATAGAGAGAGAGAGAGATAGAGGTAGAAGAGAATACAGAACGATGCCTTCGAGGGTGATCAATAAATATTGGCTCTCGGGGGTGAAATTGGGGTAGCCGTGTAGGGAGGGTGAGAGGAAGGACAGTCGTGCTGCTGCGGTTGCCGCCCCTTTCCTACGGCATACGACGTATGGCAGATATAACCACTTGGTATAGGCAATGGAGAATCGCTCATGGACCGTAATTCCCTCAGACTTTCTGATCGATACTCACTTTAGGCCATTCCGCCAGGAAAAACGCCAGGAAAGGGCCCAGGTTCACGAGGTAAACTCTGCTGGTACAAGTGGTGGAGGGAGGGGGGAACCGTAAAAATTTCGACGGTGTATCATCGCGATGGTTCCGACGTAATACCGCCACCCACCATAAGTCGAAATCTATATGGAAACTCTCCGTGGAATAGATGCGTTGCATCGATATCAGACAACGTGCATACGCGTCGATTCAATGGGAATATTCCCTTGATTGCGAGTCCCCGACGCGGGATCCCGTGCGATTCTCCGATGCGTGATGAAAACGATCGTGTCGCCCCCTATCCTCACTCCTGGTAATGAAGGGTCAAAAACCGAATCGTTTCGATCGTTAATTGCCGGTTAATTCCATAAAGAATCGCAGTTTTAAGGGATAACCATAGTCTGATAGACGACTGACAAAGGATTAAATGGGATTGATACGAAGATTGCATTGACGGAGGGTTCGAGTCGATGGGCTATGTGATGGAAGCATTTCGATTACCAAGCTATTCCTTTGCCCCATTAATGTTACCATTAGTGCCGATAAATTTTGAATTTTCGTGCAACTAAAATATTAAAACATTTAATTAATATATCATAATATGTAAGATATATACATATTAATATTAAATACCAGTAGATTTATGAAATATCAGAAATAATAAATTGCACTAGAATATATAAATATAATTTTTTCAAATAAATTAATATTATCTATTTGAAAAAATTAATGAATTTGAAAAATATTTGAATTTGCTTCAGTATCGTATTTGTTTACGAAAATTTATTTGTTTAATTATCTATTTATCATATAAAAAATTATATTTGAATATTATTTTAAGATTAAGTATCAGATTTGAGATTTAACATATATATGTATATAAAATATGTAAATCATACATCATACAAACATAAAAATATATATATAAAAAATACGTATTTAAAAATGTATAATCTTCTTATAATTTATTCGATTTGTATTTTTTCTCTTGTATCTTTTTCTTGGAGAAACTTCTTACTTCATCTTAGTTCATAAAACCAGTCTCCATTTTCTTTTAAAACGTGTTTTCACGATCTTTAGAATCATTGGAAAAGTGAAGGGATTAATTCGCAACGGTCGGGTAAGAAACATCTCGATTTCTCTCAATTGTCTCTCATCCCGCGCTAAATAGAAATCCTCGTAGCTTGTGGAGAGGTTTCCGTGAATTCGGTTAGAATTTGGATGAGGAAACTGGATGCTTTCCGAGGCGTGAAATGGCTGCGTTAACCGCTTGCACGAGCTGAAACCCCGAATCGAGCGCAAGGAAAGGGGCGGACCGCTTTCCTCTTCCTTCTCCCCCTCTCCTGCTCCACGGCCTTCTCCTTTCCCTTCGCACGCCGCTATCTCTTCCACAAAATATATATATATATATATATATATATATATATATATATCTCTTTCTTCGTTTCCCTTATTCTTCTGTTCTTTTAAAGGCTTCCGTCCAGAGACAACGTTGTTTAGTAATACCATGCTTCAGACTGCACCGGAGGGTCATAATAGAATTTATACCTTTTAGACTTTTTTCTTTTATTCTTTATAATTCACCGTCATACTTCATTATATAATCTACAATTGGTGACGTAACTTTTGTTGTGTTATTAATAATATTTTTAATATATAATAATTTAATTTCGAAATAGAGAATTTCGATTTTGCATTGATCTATTTTTTAAAATAATTATTTCATTAACATTGAATATAAAATTTGTGACATCGTTATTTTATCGATGTTTATACTAATGTGTATTGAAATTTCATATAATTTCAATTTGTGTGACGAATGATGAAATCATTTATGTATAATATATAATTTATTGCATATTATAATATTGATTCTGTTGTAAACTTTTCCTCCGTATTTTTCACAGTATTATCGACTTTCTCCCACATCAAAGTCGTAAAACAAACATGTCTATCTTGGAATAAGAATACGCGACACTTTATGCACCCTCTCGAAATTCAGCCAACGACCCCCTTCCTCTACTCTCATATTTATTAACTATAAATTGAGAATATTATCCTATTTGAAATTCACGCAAGAATATCTCATCCGGAATAAACGATCCAGTTTGCCAAGTACATCCCTCGAAACACCACCCCGAAAACGAGATAATCTTTCTCTCCTCCGCAACGTTTTCTTTGTTTCGCGAGTATTTTCCGACTGGGTCGCGGGTTCGAACGCACGGATAAGGTAATATCGTCGTACAGATCTCAGCAAAGGTATAAGACGAGAGTTATGCGGCCCGCTATGCGCGAGGGAATCGTAGATCAACGTGGTGGCACGTCTGCAGGGACGTGGAAGCGAACGTGAACGAACGGAGAACTACCGCCATCATCCAACCCCCTTTTCGTTCATCCCACGACCCCACCTTTCTTCCAAACCAACCCCTCCTCCATTCCTTCTCCCTTTCCTCTTCTTTCTTTCTTTGTCTCTTTCTCTCGGCATTCGTACCTATCTCGCTATCTTGGAGACCCAGCCACGACTCTTTCCCTGTGTCTACGTGTGCTCGTCGTCTTTGTATGCTTATACAGGGTGTGAAATAAATAAAAAATATGAAATGACATTTGTTTGATCATTTAACTTTGAATATTATTCTTTGGATAATTTGTTATTGAGCTAATCAAGAAAATATTTATTGATACTGATTAACTTTAACATTTTCATAATCTATATCTTTATTAATTATGAAAGACATGAATCTATAATATAAAAAAAAAGCTTAATAATTAATTAATATGATATATAATCTTAAATATATTTTTTTTGTTACAAATTTTTTGTATACTTACTAGTACACTTTTCCAGTTAAAATTTTAAATATTTAATTTTTTAATTGTCCATTTAATAATTCGAATGATCGCAATTTTCTTCATTTTCTCTTAAAAAAGTTACGGTTAATTAATGTTTCTTTGACTCGATTTTTTGAAAGAATTTTTGTTACAGATTTATTTTTTCACTCTCACACCCTGTATACACGCACCCTTTTGTACACTTGACCGGCGCGCTTGTCTGTGTATCGCGTTGTGTCCGAGTCTCTGGAACATGTATATCATCGATATGTATACCTACGTAAAATGCCAAAGCAAGAGCATAAGGCGGAGGGCATGAGTATGAGTGAACACAATACTGGGTGTGGCATCCAGCCCGAACTATTATTTCACCCGACGGAGTTATACAAGGTGGTACGAGTCTTGAGTCGCGGTTGGCCCTTACTCCCGACACCGTGTCTCACCCGTATTCTTTTCTATCGAGATATAATTGTCGAGTTGGAATGTCACGGTGTGACCTGGCACAATCGAGAATGTTTCGTACGGCTCGTTTCATTTCGCGGAGAATGTCGACTTTTAGATATTTCGTCATCGTAATATTCGACGAATATTATTCGGCCCAAATAAAAACTATCGAATCGAAGAGATCTTTTAACGAGGTAGAGGATTGGAATTTTTTTTTTTTTTGACGTTTAAAAGAAAACGCGAATCGTAAATATGCATTTTCACGCAATAAGTTCTATTATTCTATTTTAGACGAATTTTAAAAA